TACATGCACAGTGGGGCAAAACACATTCTTCACTGTTTACTCAAAATTCTCTAAATACAGAGAAACAATTTTTTTCCCAAAAAATCTAGCGAAACAAACTTCCTAACCATTTCAGGTGTTTCCTTTCCGTAAGTTTTGCATTTTCCAGTACCAAAAATGATGTCCAAAGCGTATCTTATGGTCAATGCGTCATAATCTGAAGGCCTAACACAAGGTATGGCTTGGTAATTTCTTGTTAGCAAGAATTGGATGTCCAGTTTAGCAAGAACTTGTCTGGCTAGATCATGTCTGGTATATTCAAATTTTCTTTGAAAAAAGAATAACAAACCGTGAATAATGAATTGAATACTCACTGTGCGCTCCTGCAGTTTTGCAAGGATTCCTTGAAGGCGTGACGCATCTAAGAACATGTTATCGCCACAAAGTCTTTCCGCTAATCCTTTTGACTGTGTAGTCCATCGTTATGGGCACTTCGATGCCCAAAATGGTACAATGCGTGTTGACGATATTCGAAACCAAAGTCAAACCCCGCCCACGAAGGGATGTCCAAAGGTATCTTGGCACAAGGCCTTGGATTTTTAACTTGTGGGCATTTCAACTGAATAATGAATTGAAGCCCGTGGGCTTGTGACGCATCTAATAAAGTCCAATTATGGGCACCGATATGGTACAATTGAACCCGTATAAACGGATTCAGGGCCGGTTTTACCTCCCCGAAGGAGACTCCGCGTAGCCTCCTTCGGGTTCCTCTCCGTTCGTAGACAGAGAGTTGAACCGAACAGTCGCTCAGTACAATGGTTGACAAGCTTGCCAGATCATGTGATTGAGCAATGAGTTGAATCCACACTGTGTGCTCCATAAGTTCGGCCTTGTGACGCATCTAAGATACGCTTATGACGTCTTTGTGGGCAGTTCGATATGGTACAATGGTTGACAAACTTGATAGATCCGGTTGGGACTGAGTAATGAGTTGAATCCACACTGTGCACTCCATATGTTCTGCTTTGTGATGCATCTAACATACACTTAGGACGTTATTGTGGGCACTACGGTGTGGTGCAATGGTTGGCAAGCTTGCTAGATCAGGTTGCTACTGAGTAATGAATTAAATCCTCACTGTGCGCTCCATATGTTCGAAATAGTGACACATCTAAGGTACGCTTATGACGTCATTTTGGGCACATCGATATGGTGCAATGGTTGACAAGCTTGCTAGATCAGGTTGCGAGTGAATAATGAATTGAATCCGCACTGCGCGCTCCATATGTTCGGCCTTTTCACGCATCTAAGATACGCTTAGGCTATCATTTTGGGCACTTCGATGTGGGGCAATGCTTAGCAAGCTGGTCTCAGTAGATACGGTTGCAACTGAGTAATGAGTTGAATCCTCACTGAGCGCTCTATACATTCGGCCTTGTGACGCATCTAACGTACGCTCAAGATGTCATTTTTGGCACTTCGATGTGCTGCAATGGTTAACAAGCTTGTTTCGCTAAATCAGGTTGCGACTGAGTAATGAGTTGAATCCTCACTGTGCGCTCCATATATTCGGCCTTGTGACGTATCTAAGATGCTTAGGCATCACTTGGGGCACTTCGATGTGTTGCAATGTTTACCAAGTTTGTCTCGCTAGATTAAGGTTGCGACTGAGTAATGAGTCGAATCCTCACTGAGCGTTCTATACATTTTGTCTTGTGACGCATCTAAGATACACTTAGGACGTCATTTTTGGCACTTCCATGTGGTGCAATAGTTAGCAAACTTGTCTCACTAGATCATATTGCGACTGAGTAATGAGTTGAATCCTCACTGTGCGCTCCATATTTTCGGCCTTTTCACGCATCTAAGATACGCTTAGGTCGTCATTTTGGTCACTTCGATGTGGTGCAATGCATAGCAAGCTTGTCTCGCTAGATCAGGTTGCGAACTAATGTTGAGTTAGATCCTCACTGTGTGCCCGATACTATCAGCTTTGAAAATCGCCATCGCTTTTAAATGCTTTTTGTCTGCCGTTGTTTGCTTGTCCTTCAAGTTAACACTCGTCTTTCCAAATCGTAGCATTCTATACATGATATTCACTGTTGCCAACTAAACTAGTCACTATGTTTCATCAATCAACTCGTTCTTGACTTCCTTTGTCTTGACCGACTTATAAGACACTACATGTCGTGTATCTCGCCTGCCGATTTTTTATTTTCTTTTTGTCCCACCCGAGGATAAAATGAACACAGAACTATAAATTCATGCAACTGATTTTCAATTGTGCATGCAGGGTTTTAGTTTACAAAAGAGAAAATATTGCAAAGTTTTGCATACAGATGTGCTCATTAAAAATGCAATGCAATATTCACATGAAAAAAGTGCTTTCAATACTTTTGAATAATGATCATTAGTTAGTAGAAAAGATCACAGATGAGAGACACCTAGTGATAATCGAGCTAACTGAAGTAGTAATAATCGGCAGTAGAGTAATGGATAGCAACTTGGATTGAGGAGTCGGAGTGCCGAGTTCGAATTCCAGTCGAATCCATTACATTCGCTTACGTGCTAATACCCTTGAAAAAGGTATGAATCCTCCTCTTCTTCCCCCATCTATGGATAAATAGTAGGATAGACAGGGTTCTAGGTTCTATAGCCTTGGATGGTAACTAGTCTGCCACAGAAAGAAATGCCAACCTACTGCAGGAAAAAATCCGCCTCGACAGTTATCGAAAGTTACATGATCGTCTAAGCGTGTATCACGCAAGGTGCATAAGTGAATGATCTGCCACTATCGCTTATTGCCTATTTTTCCAGGATGAAGCCATCTTTGTTATTCTATCCTTGACTAAGAAACATACATAATCAATGTTATTCTATATTATGAATTCTTTACTTTTCAGATGATTAGTCATCATTAACACTTTGCCAACTGCATTATTATAGCATTGTGCAGGCCCATTTTAGAAAAAAAATTGAAATTTATTTTTATTTCACCCCAAGTATGGCGATAATGCCACTAGGACGTAAGGGGTTACTGGGAGCGAAGGAGAGTGAGAAGACTTTAGAAGGAACCGGAAATCCAATCCTAAACAGGAAGCATCTACTCCTGTTCAATAGACGGGGAGGGGATGGGAACTGGGCGATTGAGGAACCTATCTACGCCTGACGACAATCTCACATGGGCGCTTCTATTTTGGTTTCAATCGGATACTCAGGAGTACAGACTAAGCTAAACAACATTATAACACAGAGTACAATAAAAAAGAAACATCACAAAACAGAAGTTTATTGCCTGCTACAATATGTCTACAACGGTTTTAAATAACAGTAAGCATAAAGTAGTTTATAACACAAACGATGGGGACCGATATGATACAGTGTCTTGAAAAAACAAAATATACGTCTACAGCAGGCAATATTAGTTTCTTGAATCGATCGAAAGAGTTAACTGTTTCCCCATGGCGAGGCTAATTTGTTATTATTCCCTTAATTAATGAAAGAAAATATATTCGATGTTAGTCTGTATATATATATATATTAAGTGCTGTGTGCATATCTCTCCTCCGTATATATATATATATATATATATATATATATATATATATATATATATATATATATATATATATATATATATAAAGAATGTTGGAAAAGTCTCGGTGCGTCTCGGTTCACAAAATAAACATCAGAATGTTGGGGGAATCCTTTCTTGGTCTAACTGAGATAATTTCAGAAGCTACTCATGGATTTTAGATAATTTCTGTGACAAGATCATCTCTAAAATCTGGTCACCTAACTCCCCAGACTTGCAACCCCTTGATTATTATGTGTGGGGCGCAGTTGATGGAGTGACTCACAAAACTCCTTGTAACACCAAAGATGAACTGAAATATAAGGATTATGGCCACATTCAACAACTTAAACAAGGAGACCGTCCAGAAGAGATGCAGGAGATTCGGAAGCAGCCTGGAGGCCATGATTGAAGCCAATGGCGATTTTATTGAATAAATTTACTCTTTAGTATTTCAAGATTTTTTTTTTTTTTTTTGTAATTTTGGTAAACATATGTGTTAAAATGAGATGTCTGTGTTATTTTAATTTTTGCGTAATTTAGACGACAATTTATCCATCGCACCCTGTACGTATATAACATTAAAAATATATATATATTTATATATACATGTGTACATGTGTGAATGTGCATCGTATATGTACGCATTTGCATGTGTGTGTGTGTGTGTAAAGTAGACAAACATTGCTTTGTTGACGCATTTTTTTTTTCTGATAAAAAATAGAATTGTACCTAAAGTCGGTCAAGTAATGTGAAGTCGCTTATCCAGGTCAGGTGTATAAACAGGAGACGCGGCGGACGTGTTACGAATGAAGCCGGGTTGATTTGTTTATTTATTCTATTGCTTTTATGAATATTGACGAGGGAAACTGAAAAAAAAAAAAAAAATTAAGCGTCATGCAACGTCGACCATATTGCTGTCTATCAGGCCTTTTTCAGATCCCTACGCTCTTTTCAACGATGTTATTTAGTTTTTAGTTTTTTACTTTTATGTTTATTTTTATTTATATTTTTGTTTTTGTTGTTGTCGTTTTATATTTTGAACTTCCATTTGGGAAACTCGACGTCGCGTAATGGTTAGCACGCTTGTCTCGGCAGATCAATTACGACTGAATAGTATGTCCGAAGCCCGACTGGATGCTCCATATTTTGGGCCCAGAGAATGATTTTAAAACAGCGCGAATTGGAGTTATGATTAGCTAGCTTCTCTTTCTCGATTGATTACGATTTAATATTGAGTTCGATCCTCACTAGTGCCCAATACTTTCGGCATTGTGCCACATGTAAGGTTACGCTTAGAAAATAAGGTGAAGTTTGGCGTTATGTAATGGTCGGCAAGCTTGTCTCGCTAGATCAATTACGACTGAAGAGTGATTTCGATTCTCACTGGGTGCCTTGTGCCACATCCAATCTGCGCTTCTAAAATTACCATATTTTAAACTTCCAGATGTAGGATTAGTTAATAATGGTAATAAAAAAGTTCTTCTTCTTCTTCTTCTTCTTCTTTTTCTTCTTCTTCTTCTTCTCCCCCTCCTCCTCCTCTGTACCTCCCTGTTCGCTTTCTTCTTCCACTCTTACTTTTGTACCTACCTGTTTTTTCTTCGCTCACTCCCATTTCTCTTTCTCCTTATCATTTTCTTTCTTCGACACCACCATTTTTTAAATTTTCTTTTTGTTTCTTTTTCTTCACATTCTCCTTCTTATGCTTTCCTTCTTTGTCTTTTTTTCTTCTTCTACATCGACGTTTTCTTACCTTTTACGTCTTCTTCGTCGTTACCTCCATTTTCTTTCTTCTCTACCTCACTTTGCTCAATTTTCTTCATTTTCTTTTTCTTCTGTACTTCCCTTAGCTCTTGCTTCTTCCCTATTTCATTTTTTCTTCTTTTCTACCTTTTCTTCTCTTATTCTTCATTCACACCTCCCATTTTTCTTCTATGCCTCCCTTATCTTTTTCTTTTCTTTTTATTTCTTTTCTTCTGTGGTTAACGCTTCTCTTTCTCCTTTTTCTACTTCTGCAGATTTCTATTTCTTTTTTTTTTTTTTTTCAACTAACGCACCTTCATTTTTCTTCTTCCATAACCCACATTTCTCATTCTTCCTCATTTCTTTTTTATACACCTGCTTTATCTTTTTTTTCTTTGCTTTTTCTTCTTCATTTCACTTTTGTTATTGTTTCCTATTTTCTTCCATCTGGGATCCCTTTTCTCTGTTCTTTTTTTTTTTTTTTTTAATTTTAAACTAATCTTCACCTTTTTCTTTCCTTTTTCTTGAATCTCTTTTCTCTTTCTTCTCCATTTCTTCTTCTGCGGCACCTTTTTCTTTTTCTTCTTCTAGCACTACCTACCTTACTCATTACACTACCCTTTTTCATTCTCCTTGGCCTCTCTATTTTTTTTTTTTCATTCTTCAACTCACTTTTTCTTCTCCACGTTTTCATTCTGCGGCATAGAATTTTTTTTTTCCTATTTTACTTCTACACATTTTTTCTTATTATTCAGCTCCTTTTTTTTTTCTGTATCACTTTTGTTGTCTTTGTAACCCATTTTTTTCTTTCGTCTTCCTTTTTCTTTTTCACTTTTCTTCTATTCCACACCCCACTTCTCTTCTGTTTTTTATTATAAATCTCCTTTTTTTTCTCTTCTGACATACCTTTCTTCTTTTGGCTTTCCCTTTTTTTTCTTTTTCTTTCTTCTTTTCCTTCATTTGTGTTATGTTGTTAATAGAAAAAAAACATCGTCTAATCTCGGCGACGGTTAATAACTATTTTAGAAACAGTCTGCTGTAATAGTAGTAATATTGTAGTAATAGTCGTAATATTGTTCACTCCATTTTTGTCAGTGGTTCGTACTCATCTTCATCATCTAACTTTACAGACCTCTTTTTTAAGAGCTATAACGTTTTTTTTTCTATTCACTTGAAGAATCTTTGTTTTTCACAAAACACGGAAGTATTTCAGGTAGGTTTTGAACACATTCTACGGGAATATCACATGTCTCGCATAAAAATTCCAATAGTAACCAGAATTCCTATTATCCTGTTATTTCACTTGTGTCTATATCTTCGAGAAGAGTCATCAACATTCCTCATATTGTTCAGACTATTGTAACCCATCTTTTCGTTTCTTAACCTTACTAACACCTGGTTTTAACCAGATCTGTCATTCAGAACACGTCATTCAATATTGAGATGAACAACTCGGAAAAAAAAAGGCCATGCCTTATTTCCCTAAGGAAAGCGTCACTGCGTCCTTGCGATTGACAAATTATGTTCCACTCTACAAATCTTTTCTCACGTACGAAACGTCGCAAGCCTCTCACTGCTTTATCGCTTTTTTATGGGAAGTGCTCAGACGAACTACATTCCAGCCGTTCTAACCTTCACACCTAAAACTCGCAATTCTACGCACATTGTAGCGAACCACGTTTATTCCCTTCGTATTCCATTGGCGGGATGTAAGTTCCACTCGAGCAGCTTCTTCCAACGAACCGTCTCCTAAGCTAATACTTCCCCGATAACTTCAATCTTAACCTGTTCAAGTCTAGAGTTAACCGTTATCAACCCCCCATATCCGCATAAAATGTGTTTCTTACTCTGTATCACTCTACCTCGAGTGGCTCCCGGGCTTTGTACCGGTTGAACATCACTTTAAAAAGATAAATAAAAAGATAAAAAATAAAACATTTCCTCTTTTTTTTTTTTTTTTTTGAGAGTTCTGCAACCTCAACATCGCTAACATATTTAATTGTTTGAACAAAAATTGAAATATTTTTCAAAGCCTACATGGCATTATATTATGTAATATAAATATTATAAAAATATGACACGACTTTGCCTGCACGAGTGACATTCGCAAGATGTCTCCGTACATTTATTTTATTATTATTATTATTACTTTTTCATGCTTGACATCACACGTAAATACAAAGCATATTAGTTTGGAAAGACCTGTCGCATTTTAGCATTGAATATCGTTGCTACATCTGGTTTGGTTCTTCTGCTATGTATCTAGAGATTCTTGACGAAATCCATTGAAAAAATCTGCAATGTTATAGTTCCTAACCTGGCATCTCATCTTCGATAACTTTGGCATCGCCGTAGCGTAGGTACCCTGTGCCATTTATGTAATTATTTTTCATGATAATTGTTTTGATGAGGTTTATTCTTTCCTGCCTCGATTTTACGAATTTAAGCGCAGTACCAGATTGGCAGCTAGGTCTCATCATCTAACAGCTGACACTACTATACTGCTCTGAGGGAGAACCCGGTTTTTGACTGTTGTTTTTGATAACTCAGTTACAATAGTTTATGTCATCCTCGTCGCCAAACTGTTGTAACTAAGTTATCAAAAACAACAATAGAAAACCGGAATTGCTTTAAAAAGTTTATTACCTTTTGGTACAGGGAAGCATAATTTAGAATAGAAACTAGGGAAGAGAATGTTTAGCCGTGAATGACTAACTGTTTTCAGCAAAAGCTACTGCTGCTGCTGCTCCTTCTGCTACTCGATGTAGGAATATTTTTATATCTTTCGTCCGACGGCCGAGTTCAAACTTTTAGGGAAATATTCTCCCTCACAACATATATGTAACCATATTTTTTCTTCCCGCACTTCTCGTTTGTGGAACATTTTCCGGTTTCTTGCTTTACAGTCAACTTTGATGTTCAAAAATTGAAATGAAATGTCAATCCTCATTTTATGTCTGTTTGAATCGTTTTCTTTTATTGTCCTCCCTCCGTAATAATGATTTTTCTTCGATTCTTTCAATTTTAATAACTTTTGTAGCATTATTGTCTCGTTTACGGTGAAATACTTAAAACAAGCAAACGCTTCTTTGGTCTTAGCTGATATATTTAACGAAGATAATAATTTCCTTCATTATCCATCACTAACCGCATGAAATTGTTGATCTCCCGGGAGTAAAATTCTTCCGCTTTCGATGCAGTTAAGCACTACATATCAGGTTTAACCTCTTCTCAGTTAATGTACTGTTTTCTTTTTAAAAATGTTGCAATAACTTGGAGAAATGATAGTCAGACACAGCTACATCAGTTGAGTAGGAAGAATGGGGTGAAACATATTGTGTGAACTTGCATGATCGTGTCAGAGCATCACGTCTTTAAGATTAAACATTGATGGCTGCATTTTTCTGTAAATTCTTGCTCAACATTTCCAACTGACGATAATATTACCACCAAACAGTGGATTTTTTTCGGGCGTAGCCCTGGTTTAGGCATCGATGCGTCTTTTTCTGTCGGTAATAACCAATGTCGTTTTCGTTGCATAGTATTGTATACAAACCACTTTTCATCAGTTTCACGCTGAAAAGCGTTACTAACAATAATAAATAAAGAAGCAGACAGATGTGGAATCAATTGAGAAAGTTTGAACAGTTTTCCAACTTCATTTTATGATCAAAGTAAGAAGCGGTAAGACTGGAAGAATTTGGAAAAGCTATAATTAGGAATGAAGCAATGAGATCAGGCATAATTGATCATGTATTGGTGGGGATGGTAGTCATCAAGAATGATGAACGTCGAAAGGTATCATCGCATATGCTAGGCTATGAGGATATGGTTAGTAGGCCTAACATAGGAATGAATACGATAAGGGAGCCGTTAAGAAAGAAAGAAAGAAAGAACGAAAGAAAGAAAGAAAGAAAGAAAGACAGCAAAATTTCAACAACAGCAACAGTAAAAAAAAACGGAAGCCTCAATTACTGCAGTCAAGCAAGACAGGTAGCAGTAGTAGGACTAACAGCAGGTAGGTTAGGTTTAAGGCTGTAAGTTTTCTACTCAAAATTGGCTCACGAGACAATAGATAAGTGATTTAAGTATTAACTAGGGAATTTGGTGACATAGTAACTGCCAGTTCTGTCCTTAGTCAGTGTGCACTTGGATTCAGTGGAAACAGGCCAAGCAATAACTGAGAAGTACTAAATAAGAACTAAACAAGGTACCCCTGGTCATGGGCAGAGGAATGTGGACAATAGCACATTAAATAAAGTGTTCAGTTCGAAATTCCTTGATGGTTATCCGGATCGACAAAAATCTGATAATGACCGGAGAACACAACGGCCGAAGCGACAAAGATTAGGATAATAGTCTGCATGCAAATAATGTAAATAAATAATATCTATCGACATAGAGATCGAGAAATTTTACGAAATAAAATGTATCTACGACGCATAGGCAAGGGGACAAAAGGTTTGGTTGAAGTAATCCAAAAGTGACTTTACCCAAACAGTTCTAAGTTCAATACCTGCCCACAGCAGAGGTGACCAAAAACTTGAAGTGTTGGGTTACTAAAGGAAATTAACTGAAACTGAGATATCCAGAAAGGATTAAACAAAGGGTGCAGTTCAAAATTGCAATTTTTATCAACGGAAGAAGGCCGGAGCGTTCAATCGCCGGAACGTCGGGAATATCAATAAAGATGAGGATAAAAGTCCGAACAATGTAAATAGTGTAAATAGTTACAACACTTCAGAAAGAAGAAAAACAGCGATGTCAACTGAGACACGTGCAACCAAGAACCACTAATTATATTCATTAATTGAATATACAGAGTACGATTGGTAAATTGTCGTAAATTTATATTTTTAACTTCGCGCACGCGCTTTGTGCATTTTGTCGACGGAACAGTATGGTAGGGTCTGTTTGGCAGCGTCTGTGAGATAAACAGCACCGTGATGCAATTCACTCGACCAGAAATTTGGAAACGGTATGATGTACTGCTTGGCATTTGCACCAGAACTCCAATACGATTATTTCAGAGTGTTTCAATCTGAGAACAATACAAAGGATTCGAAAAGAGTTATATGACATATCCAGACATGATGCTTCTTTGAGTGATCCATAGTGATGGCGATATCATGTCACCATTCATCTTCTCACAGGGCAACACGGTGGCTTACATCAAATGCGTCGAGGAGGTAGTGCTGCTCTGGATGAAGAGGTCGACTGCTGGACGACTCTATGTCTAGCAACAGTACTCTGCACCATGATACACAAGCAGGAGAACCCAGTCAGAGATGTCAGACAATTTCTGCGATCATATCTGGCCATCTAACTCCCCAGACTGCAACCCCCTTGATTATTATCTGTGGAACGCAGTTGAGCGACAGATCCACAAAACTTCTTGTAACACCAAAAATGAACTGAAGGCAAAGATTATAGCAGCATTTACCAATGAGACCGTCCAGAGGAAAAGCAAATTTGGAAGTCGTTTGGAGGCCATGGTTGAAACTAATAGTGATTTTATTGAATAAATTTACTCTTTAGTATTTCAAGATATTTTGGTGGAATTTTGGTAAATATATCTGTCAGTGTTATTTTCATTTTCGTAATTTTATCCCTCGCACCCTGTATATGGTTGTGTGAGTGTGAGAAGGAATTAACATAGCTATTTAAGTGAATGAGTATGGCTCCACACAACAAAGACAGAGTTTGATTTTTTTATCTCTCTCTTCCACCCATGGTATAAATCTAGAACAAAACACTTTGCTTGACTATGATCACTGAGCTATTCACATTTTTCCTTCTACTGTCTGTTCTAATTACCCGGAGTCTAAACACAGTCTTATGGTTTCAGCTCAGAAGATCATCTGTAAATCTATGCAAG